TATAAATTACTAGGTTCCCAGTACCGTCAGGTACAATAAGCACTGGGGCTGACGCTAATCTTTCCTTGAGTTCCTGAAAACTACTTTCACAAGCTCGACTCCAATCAAATTTCTTCCCTTTTCGGGTTAACTGAGTCAGTGGTGCAGCAATCCTTGCAAAGTCTTTAATAAAGCGCCTGTAATATCCGGCTAAACCCAGAAAACTTCTCACCTCAGTAACTGTAGTTGGTCGAACCCAACCTATAACTGCCTCCACCTTTGCTGGATCAACAGTTATACCATCCTATGATACCACATGACCAAGGAATACTACCTTTTGAAGCCAAAACTCGCATTTTGAGAACTTGGCATATAATCTTTGTTTACGTAGAACCAACAAAACCTTCCTCAAATGTTCTGCATGTTCATCGTTTGTCTTGGAATAAACCAAGATATCATCAATGAACACAATGACAAAAGAATCCAGAAAATCCTGGAATACCCGATTCATCAGCTCCATAAACACTGCAGGGGCATTAGTCAAGCCAAAGGACATCACGACAAACTCATAATGCCCATACCGAGTACGAAAAGCTGTCTTCGGTATGTCATCTTTTTTTACTCTTATCTGGTGATAACCAGAACGAAGATCAATCTTCAAAAATACCGCTGCCCCTTGAAGCTGGTCAAATAAGTCATCAATTCGTGGCAAGGGATACTTATTTTTTATGGTCACCTTATTCAGCTCCCTATAGTCAATGCAGAGACGGAGTGTGCCGTCCTTCTTTTTCACAAACAACACTGGAGCTCCCCATGGTGACACACTAGGTCGTATGAATCCCTGGTTCAACAATTCCTGTAATTGCAACTTCAACTCTTTCAATTCCGCGGGAGCCATCCTATAAGGAGCTTTAGAGATAGATGTAGTCCTTGGTTCTAGTTCAATACCAAAGTTGACTTCCCGCTCTGGGGGTAAACCAGGTAATTTATCAGGAAAAACATCCAGGAATTCATTCACTACAGGTACAGTTGATACATCTGTATCCACTCGTCCCACTTCTACCACACTAGCCAGGAATGCCACAGCACCGTGACCAATTAGCTTCCTAGCCTTCAAAGCAGTAATTGTCTTGGGAACACTTCCCAGCTTTGTACCCTGAAACCGGAAGCTCTTTCCCATCGAGGGGTGAAAAACTATCTCCTTCTTATAGCAATCAATACTAGCATGATGAGCAGACAGCCAATCCATGCCCAAAATAATATCGTAATCATACATATCTAGCACCATTAACAACACGTCTAATGATTGGCCGGACACTTCTACTTTATTCAGTTTCACCTTTTCACGGGTCATCAACATGACTCCTGAAGGTGTAGAAACTAAAATCTCATAACTTAAAGGCTCTACTTCAAGTCGGGCTTGACAGACAAACGATAATGATATAAAAGAATGCGTCGAGCCAGAATCGAATACAGTATAAGCAAAATAGCCAGATATGGGTAAAGTACCTGTCACCACCGTGCTGGCATCCCCCGCTGCCTTGCTTGTCGTGGCAAAGGCTTTACCTCGAGCCTGAGGATGTCCCCCGGCACTCAACTGACCCCCACCTCCACCTGGAACAGATCGCTCGAGGCGCATCATATTAGGGTTCTTTGCACTACGACATACTCTGGCGAGATGACCAGTCTTGCCACAGTTATAACATATCTTGTCTGCAGCATTACAAGATCCCGCATGAGTTAACCCACACTTACTACAACCTGCCCTCCCTTCACCGGAATAAGGCCGGCGATCAACTCGTTGTGGTATCGTCTGCTGTTGCGAACCCGTGGATATTTGAATAAATTTTCGTTTACCACTTGGCCGTACCTGACTGCTAGAACCCTGATTATTCCTCGGGGTGCTAGCATCTAACTTGACCGCAGCATTATAAGCCGTAACAAAATCTTGAGAAGCATGGGCAGACACAGATCCCTGTATCTCTTGCCTCAAACCCTGAATAAAGAGATCCGTCTTCTCTTCCTCAGTAGCAACCATAAGAGGAACAAATCTAGATAATCGTGTGAATTCCGCCTCATACTCCTCTACTGACCTATTACCCTGTTCCAATTGCATAAATGCTTTTCGGTTTCGCAATCTCGCTAGAGCAGGATAATATTTCTCACAAAACTCATGTCTGAAGGCCGCCCATGTGATTGGGGCCCCACCAGCCTCCATCTTCGGCTTCTTTGATTTCCACCAAAAATGGGCTGGCCCCTCCAACAAATATGTAGCACACAACACTTTATGATTCTCTGGGCAGTTGTAGAATGTAAATTTTGTTTCAATACATTCCAACCACCATTCAGCTGCCTCCGGATCAGTCCCCTTTCCTCCAAAAGTTGGCGGGGCAAGTTTCATGAAATCTCGTATGTACTCACTCTCCTCTGTCATACATCGTCGGCCATAAGTTACTACCCGCGATGGTGCCTCTGTCACCACAGCTGTACCAGGTAGCTCTGTCAACCGTGTTGGAGGTATTACTGTCTGAACACCTACTCCTGGTGCTTCAGACACCAATGTCGTCTGGCCCGATACAGGTATTGTTGGAGCCGCCTGGCTTCCAAGACCAACAAGGGCTGCCTGAACCGCTTGATCCACCCGGCTCTGCATTGCCTGATCTACTCGACTCTCAATCAATGATTGTAATGCTTCCAAAGTAATCACAACAGTCGGCTGATCTCTAGATGCCGACTGAGCAGCAGGCTCCGGAACCGCCTCTGCTGGAGCAGTTTCCTCTACAGGCTGCCCCTCATTTCCCAAGTCCACATTGGATGTACCAGGGTCTAAATTCTTAAATACGACCATATCTGTCACATACATAATTAAGTGGTCATCATCAATTCCTTTAAAATTTTCATACTTTTTTTTTTTTTTTCATACAACTTAATCATACATCACTTACCTAACCGAGGCGAGATACCGCTGAGCTGGACTAAAGGAATCCATACTGTCTATTCTAGACTGTCTACAGAACCTATAACCTAGGCTCTGATACCAACTTGTAACACCCGCTCATCGCCAACGCGATTAACAGGAGTTACTATCGACAATATTAAGAGACTCTGATACCCAATCATAAAATTAAAAATATTTCTAAAAACATCCAGTAAAGTATTTTTATAAAAAAAAACAGTACTTTAAAAAAAAACTTAAAACGACTAAGGTAAATTCTTGACAACGGAAACATAATTACAGAACAGACCCAGACATGGATTCCCAGTAGTCTCTAGCCCGCTGGTCTCGTCCTCTGCTGACCTGCAGCATCTACATCTGGAAAGAAAAGTTATAATAATTCTGATGAGTAATTAGATTACTCAGTAAGTAGCTAGTTTATCATTCACAGGTTCATAACTAATCTTTCCAGGTGTTTTTACGTTTTATTCATCACTGACTCCTAGTTCTCTTACTAGAGTCATCTGTTCGTTAATGAGGTATCTCAGCTACCTCCAGCTAGGTTACTGACTCTCTCTCGATATGCTTATCTAGAATTTTCGGACTTGTATGTAAGACTCGCTCTCGGTCAAATACGGCCCGTCTACTAATTGCTTTGGCGGCCTGTTTATCTCATATACCAACGGTCAGGAGTACTCCTGCTCCCTGACTTAGCACACAACGCGTTGGCCAGGAACTCCGCGGGAATTAGTAGACTATCATACTCATATAAATAAGCCATAGCTCAACCACCAATAAGCATATCTAGAGTCATAACCTTTCCATTAACATGCATAACATACTCACAGTTACTGCATGCTTCCATACATATATCATGATCAACACGTAGAACATTCTGACAATCATTTATATCACGCTTACATCACAGGCAAGCAGTCACAATATACAATAAACACTAAATATCATCAAAGTTCATCATAACTTATTAAGCTCTTAATCAGGTAAACAACATACTCACATGTTGTAAAACAAGTTAAGAACGAGTTCAAAGGTCGATACGCTACTTACTTGGTTTCGAACTTCTTTTTCCCCCTTGAATGTACGTTTAATAGTATTTCAACACAATTCCTTCCTATTAGACCTATATTTTATCAATTTCAACATAAGTATAGACCAATTTTGGTAGGACAGGTCAAAAGGAGTCGAACGGGACAAACCGAAAGCCAAAATACCTTCTCACGCGCCCTCACGCGCCAATACAAGGTCGGAGGTTCGTTTTCTCACGCGCCTGATCCACGTACAGTCGCACATCCACTCGCGGCCTCCCACGCCCCTCGCGTGTCCTTCACGCGCTCGTCTTCAACCTCTCCTCCCTGCAATTTTTCCCAATCTTTTTCTTTAATACCCGTTGTGTCCCGAAGCAAAAATTTCATCTTTACAGCTCGAATTTCGTTCTGATTTCTTCTACAACTTTATAGATCTTCTAACTACGGTTCTAACCAGCCTTATTTCATAACTTATTATGCAGTATAAATCAAGATATCGAGATTTAAAGGTTCGGTGATGTGGGTTTTTCATTACCTTCGAATTATCGTCCGATTCAGCTCGTGGCTATATCCCCTTCCTCAAACGATTCCTCAGCAACAACCCCTCTTCCTTTACCCTCGATTGATGTCCAATTTTAAGCAACCAAAAACTCGAATTCTCCAAAAATTTCCTCCTCTATTTTCTGGGTTTCTCTCCATCTCCATTCTTCGTTTTTCTTCCCTTTTTAAAGCCTAATCATGCTCTAATACGCTTCCACATCCCCTAATCATCCACTCATCCATCCCACGCCTCCAGCCTACGCGTCCGCCGCCCCTCATCCTCCTTTACAGCAGCTGCTTGACGCAGCTGCTTCGTTTTCGTCGTTTTTTTTTTTTTTTTAAATTTATTTATTTATTTATTATTATTATTATTATTATTATTAAACACACAACACATACACACAAAATACATTTTTTTTATTTTTGCATTCTCCATGTTGTATCAAAATAGATACACCTCTTTCTTGCAATTGTCCAAGACTTGAGAATTGTTTTTCAACTCAGGTATATAGATAGAAAACATCAGTGAATACCTGAGTGACTCCAACAACTTGCAACCTAATGTTACCTTTTCCCAACACTGCCATCTTGAAATTATTTCCAAGCTTCACAGATTGTCGGAATTCCTCGTCAAAATCTGAGAACCATTCCTTGTTTGCACACATATGATTTCTACACTCAGAATCAAGGAACCAAACATCTTCCCTCCTTGATTGGTTGAGCTCCGCATATGACATCAACAAGATTTCTTCTTCATCCTCAGTCTCTGCATAACTTGCTTCCTTTTCCCATTGAGAACACTCATATCTAAAGTGTCCTAACTGATGACACTTATAACACTCAACTGTAGTTTTGTTGTATGCATGTCTACCTCTTTCTCCAAAAACTTCACGAGCTTGATCAACTCCTCTTCCACAGAATCTATTATCTTATGTCACCTTTAGTGCTTGTTCGTCACCTACACGTCCATTCATTCTTTCCTCATGTACCAGCAAGCTGCTTTGCAATTCATCGATTGTTAAAGTGCCTAAGTTATTAGACTCTTCAATCGAACATATAACATAGTCAAATCTTGAAGTCATTGATCTCAAGATTTTTTTCAATAATCACCACTTGTTTCATGTGTTCGCCATAAATTTTCATCTTGTTTGCAATGGTGAGAGTTCGAGCAAGATATGCATCAACACTCTCACCTTCTTTCATCTGTAGGACTTCAAACTCTTTCCTAAGAGCTTGGGGTTGAGCTCTTTTGACTCTTGTGGAACCTTGGTACTTCTGCTTCATAGAGTCCAAGTTTTTTTTTTTTCTTGCAGTGACTCTATTAAGGATCATTTCCATAATAGTTCGATCAATGGCTTGGAACAAATAATTCTTGACCTTCAAGTCTTTCAGCTTCTTGTTAGCAATTGTTTTTTGTTGTGCTTTGCATCATCCATTTCGACTCATTTCAATAAATTTATTTGCCACAACAAAAAGACAATCTTTACCCTTTTTAGTGTGCAGTAAACCAAGAACAAAATTTATAGATATATTTGTCCAAGGTTTGTTAGGTACATTCAAAGGAGTATAAAATCCGTTTGGTTGTGATCTAGATTTAGTTTCTTTGCGTTTCAAACATTTGCTACAAAACTTAAGGACATCATGCTTCATTTTCGGCCAAAAGAAGTGTATATGCAACATCTTATAAGCTGTATTAATCCTGAGATGTCCCATTGAGGCACCACCATGTGCTTCTCTCAAAAGCAAATCTTTTATAAAGCATTTAGGAATACAAAGCATAAAAAATGTATGAAACAAATAATAATCATCCATAGCCTTTTTTGCAAGACAAGATGCATAAATAGTTCTGAAATCTTGGACATCTCTATATAGTTCGGTAATATGCTCAAGTCCAAGAATTTTTGCACTAAGAGAAGTAAAGAGATCGTACCTTTTAGATAACACATCAGCTACCATATTATCATTACCTTGCTTATATTTGATGACATACAAAAATGTTCCAATAAATTCCACCCACTTTGCATGTCTACGATTCAATTTGCTTTGACCCTTCACATACTTCAAGCTTTCATGATCAAAATGGATCACAAATTCTCTAGGCCATAAGTAGTGTTGCCACACATGCAATATATGAACTAAAGCAAATAATTCTTTATCATAGGTAGTATATTTCAATGTTGGCCCGTTTAGTTTTTCACTAAAATATAAGTGCTTTCCATCTTGAATTAAAACAACACTTATGCCCAAACCACATACATCACATTCAATTTCAATAGTTTTATCAAAGCTAGCCAAAACAAATTATGGTTTGCTTAATTTCTTCCTAGGAAAATTGGATGCGTTCTCTTGCATTTCTCCCCATTTAAAAACAACATTCTTTTTCACTAAGTCATTCAATAGTTCAGTTATGGTTCTAAAATCATTTATAAATCTCTTATAGAGGTTAGCTAACTCATGAAAACTCCGAAATTTACGTGCACTTTTTGGTGTTGGCAAATCCATAATGAATTTAACTTTGTCTCTATCTAAAGCTACTCTACTTTTAACAACTATGAAGCCAATAGAGTGAACTTTTTCCATGCAAAAACTACCCTTATTAAAATTAAATTTCTCTTTTCTATGTGTAATCAAAACTAATTTAACATGCTCCACATGCTCAAGCAAAATCTTCAAATACATTATAATATCAACAATATAACCAACAACATATTTTCTCATATATTTTCCCAAACCATTATATATCAAGCGCATAGGTGTACTAGGAGTATTAGTTAATCTAAAAGGCATAACAAGTCATTCATACAATCCAAAATTAATATTGAAAGTTGTTTTCCATTCATCTCCTACGTGCATTCTATTTTGATGATATCCAGATTTCAAAATAATTTTTATAAATAGACACGAATCATGCAATAAATCAAGCATATCGTCTAACCTAGGAATAGGATGTCGATGCTTTACCGTGATTTTGTTGATCACTCTATTAAACATGCATATGCGCCAAGTTTCATCTTTCTTTGGCACTAATAAGTGTCGTATAGAACATGGACTCAAACTTTCTCATACAAAGCCCTTCTCCATGAGCTCCTCCACTTGCCTTTGAATTTCTTTTGTCTCGGTTGGATTGACTAGATAAGCTGGCTTATAAAGGAATGGCAGTCCTTGGAATGAAGTCTATTTTATGTTCAGTACCTCTAATGGGAGGTATTCCTTTATCTTGAAACATGTCTTCAAATTCCTATAAAAGAGATTGAAAAACACTAGGCAAAGCCAAGATCGATTTTTGTGAAAACCTTCTCACCTCTCCAACTGCAACCAAATAACTCTCTCTCTCCCTTTTTTCTTCAATTTCATCTCTTTTTTCATTCTTCTCTTTTTCTCTTTGATTTTTCTCTATTTTTTCACTCAAACTCTTGTTTTTCTTTTAACTCTTTTTCCTTAAACTCTTTCTTTCTTTCCTCCAATTTTAATTGATCAGCAAATACATTTGGAGAACTCAAAGGTACAAGAGTGGTTTTTCTACCATCTTTTACAAAAGAATACCTATTCAAATAGCCATCATACATAACCCTCCTGTCAAATTGCCATGGTCGGCCAAGCAATATATCTCCAGCTTGCATTGGTAATAATACATCACAAAGTACTTTATCTTTATATTTTCCCAAAGTAAAAGATATTAAAGCTTGGGAAACTACCTTCATTGTTCCACATCACTGAGCCATTGGAGCTTGTAAGGTTTAGGATGATTTTGGGTTGGAATTTGTAACCTTTTGATCAACATGGTACTTACAACATTGGTGCAACTTCCACTATCAATGACAAGACTACAAGCAGTCCCCTTGACGAAACACCGCGTGTGGAACAGGTTGTCTCTTTGATCATCAACATCATTCTCCGTAACTTGAGTTTTAACAAGTCTTCTTGTTATAAGTGCCAAATGAATCCCATCTTCCAGTTCCTCCTCATTCTTCTGGACTTCTTCAACTAGATCATCGATCTCCCTTCTATTTTCCTCGTCTGGGTTCATGAATGTACAAACAGTAGTGAAATATGTTTAGGACCTCAGAAACTAAACTCACTGATTTTACACTCAGGGACACTCATGTTTATACACACAAAGGTAGGCTGTTTGGGAAAGTGACTAAATTAGGATCAAGGTAGGCTAATATATGGATAAAGCAATTCTGATAGTAGCAAGCTACTCAAGGCAATCAAGATAAGTTAATTATGAAATAACAACAAAATAAAACAAGAAGTAAACAAACAAATAAGAGACACAAACATTTTGGGATAGAATTGCACACTGAAAAATAAAATAAAAAATTCAAAAAAGAAACGACGTGAAGATTTTAAGAACCATCTAACTCTCTTTTTACAGAATTTGGGAAATTTAGAAGTTATCTTCAAGCGTAGATTATGAAAGAAAAAAAATATCAAACACAACGGTTCTAGATTTAGATGGATTAAGAAAAAGATGTGAATCGAAGTTTATTTCATCTTCAAATAAACATGTAAATGATTTAAAAAAAATGATAAATATCGTTTATAAAAACAATCGTAAGAACAAAAATGATAAGATTTTTTCTTTTCAAGATCTAAACGTGATCTTTAGGAAGAAAATGAGAACAGAGTGAAAAGTTGATGAATAATGACGGAAATGACAGCAAGAAAATAAATGGACAGATTTAAAGAAAAAATAAACAATAGCAGAAATAAAAGATAAAATCAATTCTAGAGTTGGCCACAAAGATGTAAACGTAGGCTCTGATACCAAATTGATAAGGCAACCCTAATCCTCAGCCCAATGATCCAAGCTTTTGTTTTAGCAAGAACCCTTGAATCAAAGTAATCAACACCTCCTTATACGAAATTTGGATCAACCAAGAGATAAGGCTAGAATTAGATTACCTCTTACAATCGAAGATGTAGAAGCAAGATTTGGAACCTTGTTCTAAATTGAGTAACTCCACAATCTAACTTGATCAAGGCTTGGTTGAATGGCTCGGGTGCAATTCTACCACAAGAATTGCTTGAAACATAGAAATGGAAAATATGATGCTCGGATTTCTAAGGGAAACGTCTCAATTTGAGAACTGAATTACATTCATCCACGAATCTGAATTTTACATAACATATAATGGGTATTTATAGTCTCCCGACAAAAGACGTTTGTGGACGGGATTTATTCCCGATCCCCTTTAATCTCCACGAAAGAATAAGTCAAATTGACTATTTGACTTTTACATAATTTATGAAATTAAAAACAATTCTTTCTAACAAATGTTGATGTACTTGAGTGGCTAATGCAAGAGGTTTGAAATTAATTGAGCTTTCGCGAGTAGGTTCATTATTCTGTTGTTGACATATTTTTTTAATTTTCATGGCATTTTTTGAATTGGCAATAGGTTCATTTGAAACACCGTGATTCTTATCACACAGTCCCACCGTCGACGCCCCGTCACGGTCATGTATGTCATGCATAAGATAAGAAAAAGAATTGTCATTGATTGCATATATTGTTATTGATTGACTATTATCAAATGTAGCGTAGGATGGAATTTGGTAACAATGACTATGTTATAGTTGACTGCATTATTGTTTACTTAGTTCCAAAAATCTAGAATACGATATGATAAGGCTAGGTATGAAATTTGGTGACCATTATATTACAATGGAGGGGCTTAACCAAGGGTAGGTGTATAATGGCTAAAATGCCCTTTTAATTATGTACGCTTATGACCAAAGTGACATCTAAATGGCATGAAAATTGATGAGGAGCCTTATATCATGGTTCAAAAGGATTATACAAAGTTACAAGGTCATCGGAATATGTTGAGAATTTCAATCAAAATTTGGGGTAGTAAATGTCCAAAATATCCCTATGAGAATTCTACGATTTTTTTCAAGACTTTAAAAGACTCAAAAGAGTGCGTAAATCTATATGGCACTCATTTATAATATTAAGGGTAAGTATGAAAGATCTTAGAGAATTAGTACACCTTTCGAGTAATCAAGAGGAAACATACTCAACTACCCCTCCAGACACTTTATAAGAAATCAAGGTTTTTATGAATACTAAGTGACCAGTTTCTTATGAAATATTTATGCATGCAAAGAAATGTTCGACTCATATGAATTAGGGAAACCTTGTTAACAATTTTTCCTTAATTGTGTTTCAAGACTTAACAAAGAAGTCTTAGAACGAGAACTCGAGTTATCTGAAGATTAAAGCACTTTCGAGTACGGAAGTTTTTCTTTTTTTTAGAGGTATATGATGTAACAAC